TTATTTATTTTTTATTCATTATTATGTCTAAAGAGCAAAATTTAAGGGAATTACTTGACATTTAATAGAATTACTTGACATTTAATATTTTTTAATATAATTTTTATAATAAATTAAATTACATAATTTTATTAGCTTAAAAAATTAATAAAAAACATTTACTCAAGCATTTTAGTTACCATTAAGCATGCTTAATGGTGTCTAAACATACTTAATTTTGGGTGGTATAAATCATATTAAATTTTTGCAGGTGAAATGACATTGCTTATAACCTAAAATAATGCAGGTGAAATGGCACCGGCTAGAACCAAGTAATGCCTAACTGGACTTTTTATAACACTGAATTTTTCTACAGTCGTAGTAAAATTAACCCATTGCCTCCCAAATACAGAAATTGACATTTGTTCCAGTAAAATTAACGCTAAAAGTAAGTGAAATGATTAAATAAAGTAAACAACCTCAAATAATTAGAAAACTAAGAGAATCTACCTCTCAGTTTTACATTCAAGAAGGTAATCAGTAGCAAAGTGCTCGATGTTGATATTGACCAAATTGCCTTTGCTGCGATCGACGGCTCGCTTGCACATATCCTCGAGATCACGGAAGGGCTGGTAGCAGTAATCGTGGAAGTCGATAGATCGCCACATGGAGGGATCCTTACACTATGCGCACAGAGAGCAAACACTTTGCGCAAAGGTCAGGATATCTACGGGCCCTAGGCGAGAGAGAATCGCCACCGTCAATTCGCGCAGCCAGTTGCGGGTTTCCGATTCGTCGTACATGGCCGGGCAGCGTTGGCGGAAAATGGGAATAGCGGTTACAGTTTTTGAATTTTGACGTTTCAATTCGGAAGGCATTGTATAGGGTGGGTTTATTCCCACACCATAATTAATTCCTAACCTTAATTTATTATTAAATCCGTTATATTATATTTTTTTCTTAAAATTTTACATTTTTTATGTTTTTAATGAATACAAGCGGGTATATTGATCAACTAAGAAATAAAAATGTGATATTAATAATTAAGAGTATGATAATAATATTATTTTATTATATATGTCTATACAAAGTAAAAAATATAGTTAGAATTTATTTTTATCTAAAAAAATAGTTAAAACTATTATTAATGTGAAAATCAAGACATTTAATTTGAAAATGTTTTAGTTATATAATTGATTTCTTTTATTTAAGAATTCACTTGTAATATTATATATATTTACTGATTTAATAATATATTATATAATGCAACATAAAATTATAATTTTATAATTTTACATAATATTATAATTATAATATTACTACATCTAATTCCACCCACAAAGTAATGTACATGAAACTTTTTGCATAATTTTTTATTGTATATATACTAATTTTTATAT